GTTATAGTAACTGGTCTTTTTATGTGAATATTTGTGATTGTGTACATGAATTAAATCATATGCATTGACCCCTATCCTTTCCGCTCTTTGTAAAATAGCGTAAAGTTCGAAAGTTTCCTTATGCCAACTTTTTCGAGTTTAGGAAGGAAATTCGTGTCGGAAAGAACAAAAAGTACCACAAGTAATTATTGTCTTAATTTTGCTTGTAACTTGAAGTTTTAGGCACGCTCATGGGCGCGCAGTATCAGGACGGTTATCTATTCGATGTGAATGCAGCACCCTCTCTTCCATTAATCCTAACCAGTCGTCGATTCGATCAAGCTCCGAAACAGGATTATCGCTTTGCATATTGGTTTCAGCCGATGTTAGCTTTTAATTGGCCAAGTTTAATTTAACACACTGCAAATCAGACCTCCGGAAACCACAAAACTCCGTAACTATAAAGTTCTGATCTGGTTTACCCACTCCCTTTAGCTTTCCAGCGACTTGCGGTTCTGTTAACGAGGGAAGGTGTTAATTAGGTGTTAATTAAAGTCTTAAGTACCAGTTGTGAATTTTTTTAAAAAATTACCAAAAGTGCAGCGCTGTTCTCGAATTTCCCAAAGACTTGTATTCTACTGCTGCACTAATTCCATTTGGCCCCCCACACTCTCCAAAATCCGTGATTTGACCTAGACATATGCTGGGTCAAACCAAGATGGCGACATTTCCAGGATTTTTTTTCCGAACTTTAATGATGTGATTTCGGAAAAATCATAATAATGCAGGGAGAGGAGGGGGCGAGACGGGAGGGGAGGGTGGGGGAGGGAGGGGGCGGGGAGATCCAAGAAAACAAAAATGAGGGATTATTTGGTTTCCTGCCTCATTCCTATTACAATTTTTCCCCTCTCCGTCGTAACCCTACCTCCCACTTGAAGCATCATCCAAAAAAATTCGTGGAATTCCGCATAAATTAAGAATCATAGTCCTAACCCATTCGGACGGTATTTCTGATTTGCAGTTTGTTGCTATTTTCAGGTTTAACCTTAGTTTTTCTAACTGCATGATTATTTTTGCATGCAGCTTACCGATTTATTGCTTTTAGCGTGCTTTGATAATTTCAGGTCAAGTAGCTTGCTAAAAAAATGAGTTTCAGTAAAATTTCTATTCCGGTCTATTCCAATCCATTCTACCATCTTACTTCTCTAAACTTATTCCCTATTTCTTTGTATGATTTCGCATTTGATCATCTTTTAAACATTTTCAGTTTTGAGTACATTCGAGCATTCAATATTTTACATTTCCCGCAATTTCTTTGAATCCCGATTTTGTCCCAAAATCAAAGATTTTCAATTATAAAAAATGTTTTAGCAGAAACATGTGAAAAATTCTTGAGCCACTTTCTGCTTTTACTATGGATTCTGTGATACATTAATCAGTTACAATTCATCTTCTGATCCGTCATCTATACAGCTGGTAACTTTTCAATTCCTTTGACCAGTGCTACTTCTCCTGACGGTCAGTGTGATAGGGGATCCTGATGTTTTTTTTTCTTTTTTGTCTTCTGATACCACACTTTGATCAGCCACAGTTTCATGGTTTAATTCTGCAGCTATGCAGCTAACAACTTTCCGTGACTAGTGCTACATTAATCATTTGCATTGGTCATTGGTCATCACTTGCTTTCGTTTCAGCTGCAGTTTCACAGACTGCTTCCAAACATGTCTTCTTGCATGTTTTACTTAGACACATCCCTTATCTCTTACTCTTTTATTTCAAACACAGAAATTTTCAAAACTCAGATTTTACGTTTTATTTAGGATCTGGACTTTTTCATTCTTTTACCCTAAAAATATTTTCTGGTGGAGTGCAGCATTTTTCCTTTCTGCAGATTGTATCTAGAAATATTATTGTGGCCGTGGAGTTAGGATACCTGCGTCTATAGACATAGAATGCTTGAATTAGCAGTATTTCTTATATACCTAGTTCTGGACTATCTGTAATTCATAGTGGCACCATGCTGAGAACAACCCAGGCTGGAACGCACCGGGCGGGCCCGTGCGATTATGCGTTTTTGCACCGGACTTGAATTACTCAGGTTATTAACCGTGTGAATGGCTGTTGCTTTTCACCTAACTTTTGCGGTCACTAGAATAAATCACCATAAATTTTGCAAAGCAG